ATGTGCTGTGTCTAAGGGAAAGAGACACAAGTCTTTGGTTGCAATAGTCATTAGTTCACACCTGACTTACAGCAGAAGGAAGAAATATCTTCATGCAAAATTTTCCTCTACAGTCAGCAGCAGTGGGTGAGCAGGGACTGTTGGAGCATCACAGAGGCAGCCAGTTTTCCTGCCGTTTTCCACGGAGGTAGCCTTGGCGAGGCCGAGATGGGTCCCACGGCGAGTCTGCAGATGGCAGGTGTGGGTGGTGGCCTGGGCTGGGTCAGGTGCTGCTCTCTGCCTTTACAAGGATTTGGGCCAGCTGGCATCCCCTGTTGGAGCACAGTCCCTCAGCACCTGTGGGGCGGAGGTGGGACCAGCTCTGCTAGCCATGTGGCTGGAGAGCAGCAGAAGTACTGGTAGTCTTTCCAAACAGCAGCCATGGCAAAAATCCACGAGAAGGGTCCGTTGGCCATGGTGCCTGTGAGCAGTAACCTCACGGGATAGAAACATGTCTGCATTTACCTTGGTTTTCCAAAGATGTTTTGCTTACCTTACTAATTTGAACTACGTTGGGATGAGGATGTACCTCTGTGTAAAGAGGGAGTGTGAAGTGGTGGTGGTGCTCGTGCCACGCTGCCGGGAGGCTCATCAGGTCGTCCTGGCCCAGGGAGGGCTGCACCCCCTTCTTCCCTTGGCACGCTCCCCACCACGTCGCTGCTCGGCGTGAAAGTGAGTAAAGAATTAACGCAGCAATATCTAGCTTATCAGTGCTGGGAGCTTTTTTTTTAATTTCCCTAGTGTTTTTAAAAAAAGAATCGTTTTTTTCAGCAGTGCAAAAAGCCTTCCTGCCCAAGGAAACATGTGGCTGCGCGTGGTTCAAATCGCTGCGGTAAGCCTTGCTCCGCTCCTCAGGACCACAAGGTCTAGGATTAGTTCGTCTGTCTAGGTTTGCGATAGCCACGTTTTGCATGTGGATTTGCTCGAGCGAGCAAACTAGAAGGGTGTAAGCGCAGACAAGATGCCAGTAACTTTCGGTATGATTTTGGTGTAACTGAGGTGTCTGAGACTGAATGAGCAGATTCCAGCTGCTTCAGCTAATCCTAATTTGATCCAACTACAAAGTCAGTAATATGTCTGTAGATGTAATAAACTTAATTACTTGACTGCAAGATCAAGGAGCTGTGAAGGAGAATCTTTTGATGCATTTATTTTAAATTGCCTTCAAGTAGCTGAATGGGGAGCTGCCTATTTTGGTGGGGAAACCACTATATGAGATACCTAAAGATGCTAAAAATGTGGTTCTCTTCCATTTACAGCTCCCAGTCCCACCACAGCTGTTCCTTACACGTCAGTGAAGTGCATTGACGTAAGAAAGAACCACCACAAAACCAAGTGGCTGATGCCCTGGGGACCCAACCACTGCGAGAAGCTCAAAGACTTCGACGAGGCGGTGAGCAGGCAGATCGAAGCCAACGATATCGTGTTTGCCGTGCACATTCCCCTCCCCAGGAAGGAGATGAGCCCCTGGTTCCAGTTCATGCTTTTCATCATGCAGCTGGACATCGCGTTCAAGATGGACAACGACCTAAGTAAGTCACTGTCTGTTGTTTGCTGGGTGCTGACTGTGGTCGAATTCCCCAGCATATTTCCTTTTGCTTTTACCTTACACCGTACGTTAACTGCTACGTGCCTCCATACAGCGAGGCGATACAGGAGCACGTTGTAAAGGTGGGAATCGGTAATGGGACACTTCAGTGTGTACCTTTACAGGAGAACTGCTCACGCTGCACCAGCGAGTAGCTAAGCAGATGATGAGCAGGTTCCCTGTTAAAGTACGTAGGCCACCAGCAACTACACTGGTTTAAATCCAGCAGATTTGCTTTCACAGCGTACACACCTGGGCTTCATACAGTTTTTCCAAATATTCCAGGACGCTGAGCGCACAGCGACAGTTTGCAGCCGATAATACAGCCCAGCCCTTTCAGCTGCTGCTTTCCTGCCGCTTCTCACGTCCCCATCCCGTCCCTTGTGCTGGCTCTGCACGTGCCTGGCCGTGAGCTGCGTTGTGCAGCCATCCTGGGCAGGAACTCGGGTTTGGCCGGACGAGCTCTCTGACCGGCTGGCAGGTTGAGCTGGTCACTGCTGTGCCAGGTAGTGCCAGGGCCACCGCTGAGGATCTGCTGGAGCAAGTGAGGAGTGGGGATGTCCCTTCTGGGAACATCGCTGTGCTCCAGTTTGGGCATCTCGCTCTGTGTGGAGGTGGTGAAAAGCAGTGTCACGAGGTGGGGTTGGTTTTTTTTTACTTTTATAAACGTCTCTGCCCCAAAAATCCTTTATATCAAGACTTGAACCGGTTACCGGTTTCCCAGTGCTGAAGACTTCAAGCCATGCTCTTCTGCTCTGTGTTTGCCAAGCGCTTTTGTGAGATGAGTTTCTAAACTGTAAGCCAAAGTACTTAGTAAATGAAGTTATTGCTCCGTAAGTTGACATGAGGAGCTTCTAAGAAGGAATGCTCCTGTCTGAGGTTTTAAACATGCATTCTCTGTTGAGCACCAGTTGCAGAAAAGTTGATATTTATTTACCAAGGCTTTGTCATAATAACAGCTTTAACTTTTCTTCAGTTTGAGGTCGTTTGTTGGTGAACTCCAATAGCTGCCCTACCTTCCATTGATTGTTGTGAGACATTTTTTTTTGCTAGGATTTGATAAATGCAGATGGAAAATACCTTTTGGCCTGGAAACTAGTGTGATCCAAATTAATTGGAAAACCATATAGGTACAGGAACAGGAAGGAGCTATCTTACTGGGATTCACCTTTTGTACCTGGAAGAAGATAAAATATGCAAAAAAACCCCACCCTAAACCCAAAAATAACCCTAGAAAAAAAAAAAATCTGCAAAATGATGTTGGGAGCAGCAAGGGCAGAGTGATCTGGTCCTGAGTGAAAGAAGTCGTAGGTGTGTTTGCATGTTTTGCTGTGCTTGGGAGAAATCCCTCCCTCCAACAGCTATAACCTAGCAATAACTAAACAATTTTACTTCTCCAGCTGGTCTGCACTGGGGCTTCTGTAGCTCTTTCTCTGGCTGCAGCCCGTCTCCTGGCTCTGGCTCCAGTGTTCACGTAACCGCGGCGGGGGGCGGTTCAGGGACCATATCTGGTTTAGCAGCTGGCCGCTGGGTTGGGGACGTGGACATGCAAACGCGGGTGCTGGTGCTGGGGGGGAGCTGGCACCCCGGGGACTGCAGCCAGGTCACCGCAGATCTGCTGAAGCCTTTGTGACAGCTTCACGTTTCCTTGACTGCCCTGCCTGCTCAGCATGGACCTGTTCCTTAACAGATCATCACTAAGATAAGTTAAAAATGAGATTGTATAAAGCTTACATATGTATTCTTACCCCTATAATTATCTCTAAAATAGAGAGAGGGTAGCTGTGTAACTTTATTAAGGCCTCAGCTTCTTAGACTTCAATAGGTGATTGCGTGTAGAGAAATAACGCTTTGCTCCGAGGCTTTTAGAGTCAAACCGCTGAGCTAGAGTTAGTACCTGGCTGAGCACCTGGGAGCAGGTTGCTAAAATGCTAAACGAGCTTTTGGCAGTAATTCCTCCTGTAAGTGCAAAAAGCCTTTTCTTCAGGTCATTATTTGTGCTGTGCAGTGACCAAGTCCTTCAAAGGTGGGAACTTTTTTCTGCTTTTAAGTCTCAAAAAGCTTGTCTTGGGCCACTCTCTGGGTAATAAAAGCAAGTTTTGGGGGTGAGCCCTACTGCTTCTGCAGCTGGGAAGGACTCATTTTTGGTCATTAGCAGTTCAGTAGCTGCTGCTGTTCTTTGTTGATAAGAAGCATTTGGAGATGAGGGACATTAATACTTCTTCTGGTGTGAGCTTACTTGGCACATCTTGAAGGTTTTCTTTCATTGACTGAGGAAAGTATGTTAAAACGCTGTTTTCCTACGCTTCGTGCCAAGCTGAAGGCAGATGTAAATTAAGTGTAAAATCTAAGAAACTAGTGAATAACATATCTCTTGCTTGCTAGATCGTGTTGTAACAGATTAAATAAAAATAAATCTTGTTAAGCCAAAATAATTGCATATGTGTCTCTGTATCTTGCTGCTAACTTTGCATTAGTGTTAAAAGCTTCATTGATCAGACAGTTGGAATTGGGTCCTCAAAAGAGTCAACACTAAAGATGTGAAATAACCTCATCTCTTCTTTTAAATTGACAATTCAAGTTTATTGTCTCGAGCTTTAACCCAAGACCTCAAAGCTAGCAGTCACCCTGCTGTGGCCAATGCCAACAGGGGCTGGTACCAGACCAGGGATGGCTCCTGGACGGCGTTGTGGCAGTTAAAGCCGCTGCCAGTCATGATGATGACTGTCTTGTAGCTGTCTTGGATCATCTAGGAAAGCAGCACTGCCCGGTAACTGCGAATGGTCTTATTACCCACCTAAAGAAGCTGGCTGCCTGTCTCCCTGGGGAAACATCCCAGTCTCCGCTGGCTCCTGAAACCCTGCAGAGTGGTCCCAAGACGTTAAAGTCACTGCGAGCCATGCAGGTCCTGGGCTCGGCCACGCTCCCCTTCTCGGTCTTCACCGGGGATGCTGCTGAGCCACATCTCAAACCGTCGCCCGCTCTTCACGGCAAAGGCGCTTGGTTATCCTCTTCCCCTGCGGTCGCGAAGCGAGGCCAACACACAGAACGAAAACATGCATCCACTGTGAGTCCGTGGGCTTGGGTTTTCCAGGGGCGCTGGCTGCCACAGCTTTCCTGGGAGAGGGATGCTCCGGGGCGGGGGTGGCCAGGCTGCCGGTCAGGAGACGTCAGGGTGACTCAGGCTGACGCAGGCGCTTCCCCTCGCCTCGGAGAGCCGGAGTCCGGCCTGTGTGTCAGCCAGCAAGGGTTTTCCTGGGGCGGAGGGGAAGGGCAGCCCTGGCGCGGTGCCCCGGGGAGCTGCCTGCAGCCATGCAGGGGCTGAGCATCCCAAAAGGCCCCGTGGGACTGGCACCCTTCAGAGGAGGAGCCGGCCTTTATCGTGATCACCTTGGGAACTTGCTCCGGACTTCTGTGATGCAGATGTTTAGAAATGCTTTAAAAATGCAGATGTTCAGAAGTGCAGATGTTTAGAAGCTGAGTTACTTCCCATGTGTTTATTCCCCATGGAAAGCTGGGAGAGACTCAGACTTGCTGTTTCTCTGAGGAAAAGGCTATTTCTGTGCCCAGGCTTTGTCCTTTTTTGATGCATTCAATTATTAAAAAACCCTTTCCAGAAGAGGGAAAAGGCAGTGGACAGAGAAATGAGATGAAGTTATCTTAAAACTGCTTGTACCTCAATTGCAAAAGCTGCAATGGGAAATCTTAGCGCTGCTCGGGAGGACGGCACCATCTGCAAGCAGGACCCGCTCCCGCTGTGGTGCAAAATGCCCTGTTTGCAGGGACCGCAGGGACTCTGGCACGGAGCAGCGGCCAGAGCCCCACACGGCAGCACCGGTGCGCAGCCATCTGTCCGTCCCCGCCATCCGTCCGTCCCTGCCATCCGTCTGCGGCACTGCCGGCCACGTCCCCGGGGGAGCAGCGGCCGTCCTCCTGCTTCCAGCCCTAAGGAATCTCCTCTGCACAGAAGGCTGCTTTTAAAGCTGAAGTGTTACTCCGTTATAGTGCAGTTAGGTCGGATTCCCATGGCTGGATTTGAGGAACACTGGGTATTTCAGGAGAGGGATAAAGGCTGTTCAGCTCGTCGAGGACCGTTCTCCAAAATAGCTCTTGCTCTCGGAAGGACCGTCCCTGCTCCCAGGCAGGAGGGGGTCGCACCGGCTCCTGGAGGCCCCTCTCCATCCCCCGCAGAGCAGCGCTGTGGCCCCCCCACGGATGGGGTAGCTGGTAGTGAGTGTGCAAGTCCCTCTTCCCTGGCAGGTTAGGTGGTCATCTCTCTGTTCCCTGCACATCAGCTCCACTTTAAAAATTCATTCTTGCTTTGCTTTAGTTGTTGCTTGTTGGCACATCTTGCTGCTGGGCTCTCATGGGCAGGATACCTCAGAGAAAGGTGGGAGGATGTGCTCTGAGCTTGGAGGGGATTTCTCATTTATTTTATTTAGGTTTTGGGCTGGTCTGCTGCCATGAGTCTGAGCCGTTTGCATTTGGCAAGCTGCAGTGTTCTTAACAAGGAACATCAGTCCTTCTCTCTGAACTGCTTTGCAGCACGACCTTCTACGTGCCAAGAAAGAATTCACTGGTATCCGTCCCAAGCTGGAGCAGGGACGTGGAGGCTGCTCGCTCCCCAGCTGCCACCGGCGTCAGGACCCCCCGGAGCTGGGCTCTTGGCCTTCCTACCTTGTAGAAAAGTAAACCTGAAATTGCTTCATATTGACCTGATGTCTAGGAACGCAACGTCCCTGAGGAGCACAGAGCGATGGTTGCACTGTGCTGGGTATGGGATAACGACGCCTTTGTTCGTCAGATGGCGTAACAGCATGGAGGGGCCTTTACCAGTTTTCAATCTAAAAAAACCCAACTTGTTTCCTTCTCTTTTAATATCTAGTGAATTTAAAATGTTAGTAAGTGAGAATGACTGCTGGTTTCTTTGCAGTTGGAAAGCAATTGTGTACAGTCGGATGGCTGAGCACTGCAGACTCCTATTCAAATTCATCCAATTTTGGTTTCTTTGGTAGGTTCTGTAATTTTAGAGAGCTGGTGAAGCATGGAAGTGTAATGCAAATAATTCTAGCGTTTCTTCTGTTTGCTTGCATACGTTTCTTTCCAGACAGCTGTATTAGTATGCGGCTGGCACAGAGCCATCTTCTGAAACAACTTCTCTATTTTTAGACTATTGTAATGTGAGTGAAGATATCCGCTGCTAATATCGCACTATAAAGTGAATCATGGAAAAGATCTTGGGCACTGAATGTCTGGCAGTAAAATGCCGATGTGAAAAAAATATATTGGCGGTGCTGGGAGCGTGATGGGTCCTGGGGAGTCCCTCGCTGGGGGGGCCACGGCTCTGACCTGCTTCAGAGCATCTCACAGCCCTGCGAATGGAGAGTCGTGGATAAAGCTCCGAGCTGGGAACCCCAGCAGGAGCATGTCTTCTCCTCGCTGGTCATCCCTGGAACGCGTAATCATCTAAACAAACCCGTCTTATTTCTGTAGGGTTTTAATATCCCATGATACTGGTGAGGTTGTCAGTGGTCGAGCTGCTAATATCAGAAGTGATTTACCAGGCTCCGAATTCTCTAGACTTTACCTACGAGATCTGTGAAGGCAAGGTTAGTCTGGAGCATGCCATGAAGAGGTGCTCTGACATGGTCCTTGTGAGATGAAGTTTCCTGGCACGGGCAATTTCGTCTCTTGGTGCTGAATAAGGCGGAGATTTCAATCTACCTATTTCTACCTTTTGTTGTTGGGAAATTCTGGAAAATCTTGAGTAACGTGCATGGAGGAACTGAATAATTGCTTTCCTTAAACATGTTAGCATTTGGGAAGCTAAGCACAGGTTTGCAGTAGTTTTTTCTCTTCCTTCCTTGCATGTATTCAAGGCTCAGCCTTGAATAATTAAAATACTCTGCTCTCTCTCAGCACTTCCAGAAGTAAAAACTGACTCGACTGTCAGTCTCTTGCCTCTTACCTGTTTTGATGTTTTAAAACACCTTTCTTTTATCTTGAAGCCAAGCATGGTGGAGCATCAGCTGCCGCTCTGCTTCACATCGTGCCCGTGTGCCTGCCCAGGCACGCAGCCTGCCCTTGGTACTCAGACGGCTTCAGGAGGGTTCATGCTGTGCACGAGAAGGGCACACCCCCCCCGACTGTCGATTCACCAGCTGACATTTTGGTATTCGTGTGAATAAGTCGTGAATCTTCTTAAAATTCAGTTCTCTGCCAAAGAGCGTGTCACTGTCCGTGTTTGTTCCTCTTGGACGATGGGGACTGCTAATGAGAGCGCCCTGGTGTAGGACATCAGTCTGCTGTGCTGAAATACGCACGTGTGTGTGTATATGTCTGTCTGTCTGTATGTCTGTATGTATATGGACATATATATGCATTCTATATTGACCGTCTTGATGGGTCTTGTACAAAACCTCTGTTCTAATGGGAGGTGTTACCCCGACACAGAGACTGGTGGAAATTCAGAGGGAGGTTCTGATCCCTTGGTCTGGAAAGGCACACACTAGTGTATCTCCTGCCTTCTGGTTTTCATACTCGATGGCAGCAGCAACATTTGGATTACAAAGATGAAATAATGAAAGCTGTTTTTGTTGGATTTCATCCCAAGCATTCCAGTTGGTTTTATGGCTTCTGAAATGAAGTTTGTAGTTCTTTTGAGCTGGGCCAAGTCTAACCTTATGTTCCCATTTATCTGTTTTGCTGGTCTTCTAAATAGCGGATCTGAGATGGCAAATTCATGTTTCATGGAAACCTAACTAATGGTTGCTGTGGAAAGGAACTTCATATCAATCTGGATGGTATAGATCACGTGCACAAAAAAAATGCTGAGAAAAATCTTGATGCATCCACATCAGATGCATAACAGAGCCACCTCCAAACACTGTATAAATAGCAAGTCTAAACCACAGATACCATCCACGCCCCTTCCCATCATTTTGGATGAGTATGCCACCGCATATTCCCAACAAAAATATAACTGAAAAAGATGGCAAATACACAGGACACGCAGCGCTTGAAAGCCTCATGCTTGCTTATAGACATGAAACAGCTTCCCCTCAGAATTACGAAGATGAGATTTTTTTCAGAGCTGAACTTCAAAGCTCATCAAGTATCACTGTGTCTGCAGCTCGTTCCCGTGCGCGGGCTGCTGCTGCACGAGCAGGCAGCCCTGTTTTCATACAGACTGTTCCCGGCGAAAAGCTACGGGCGTTGGCATCGTGTACGCCTTCCGCATCCTTACCGGACAGAGCGCTTACGGCGTCTGCCTGTGCAGTGACGCAGCCCTGGTGGAATGTGTGCGTGTGTGTGAGCGTGGATCTGCAGAGGCATTTCTGACCTCCTGAGCGTGCCACAGCATGCTCCTAGGGAGCTTGCAAGCGTGAGCTGTTTGCAGTGAGAGCGTGCTACTTCGACACTGGCACAGCAAGTGGTTCTGTAGCCATCTTCCAATGTTTGTCCGTGGTGGATGGTCCTGTAGCCATCTTCCAACGTTCGTCCGTGGTGGGTGGTCCTGTAGCCATCTTCCAACGTTTGTCCGTGCCACAGCATGCTCCTAGGGAGCTTGCAAGCGTGAGCTGTTTGCAGTGAGAGCGTGCTACTTCGACACTGGCACAGCAAGTGGTTCTGTAGCCATCTTCCAATGTTTGTCCGTGGTGGATGGTCCTGTAGCCATCTTCCAACGTTTGTCCGTGGTGGGTGGTCCTGTAGCCATCTTCCAACGTTTGTCCGTGGTGGATGGTCCTGTAGCCATCTTCCAACGCTTTTCCAGCGGCTGTGGCTCTCAGTTTGGTGATCTATGCAAAGAGGCTAGGTTGTAGCATGCACATGCTCATTTCAGAACGTGTTCCTCCTTCAGAGCCTTGCCTGGTAAATGGGAGGATTTTCCATCTGGTAGAGCTCGTACAGACTTGCCTCGAGTTTTTGAAGCATGTTTATGTGTTGCTACTTGGCAGACTTCAACTGTAACTCTCGACTTCATGACCTTGCTCAGTTGTGGCACCTGAATAAGCCTGTTCCAGCCCCATTTCATTCTTGCAGCGATGACCTCTTGGCAGCATCCCAGCAAGAGCACATGTAAAAGCAGTTACACCCCGTCCTCTTCCTGTCAACACGCCGAGGAGAGGACGAGCTGACTGTTTCTACGCAGATTTGATGTGGTGACCTTACCTGGGTATATAAACTCTGTATGTATTGGTGCATCGGTAAAGGCAGAAATAAGTCCGTGCTGCTCCGGGGGCGGGGGGTGTGGAGAGGAGGGCTCCACAAGTCTTATGTAGAATGAGTTAAGCTAAACAATACATATAGAAAACATCAACTCCAGCACGTGCGGTCGTTTCTGAGGTTTTTTTCCAGCAAGGCCAACATTGCTAAACTTCAGGGGGTTTATTTTCTTTTTAAAGGAACTTCCTGTGGTGTTTTCTTATTACTCTGGGAACCCTGGCTTATCTTTTAAGAGCAGAGGATCCTAGTTGTGGGCGATTTTGAAGCAATTTGTGCTTTTGGTGACGCATTTTGACTTTTCCTAGCTGTGCCGTTCCCTGCCTGCTCCCTTCCCAGCCCACCCAAAGACCTCTGCACCCCGTTTTGTTTCTTTCTTATAACATCTCTCTGGTAGAATACATCTGTGTTAAGGGGCATATTCTAGACCCTTTTATTCAAGATTTTGGGCTTCAGTGTTTATGGATGGTGAACCTACAGCCATAAGAAACCTAAGGTTACGTCAGTAGATGACTTCTGCTTTCATACCTAAATGAACAAAATGTACCGTTGGTTGCATGGTTTCTGCTTTTTACAGTTCATCTAACCATATACAGTTGTATACTTCATCTTTTTTGCAGTTTTCTGTAACTAAACGCTATTTCAATGTTGATTTAAAGCAAATCCTATGATCAGTTGTTTCCTGAAGCAGAAGGACCTATTGCATACTTTTGCATTAGCTGCAGAAAGTCTGCATTGAAGCCTGTCTTCTTGTCCCTCCACCAGCCCATGGCGAAGAGGCTGCTGGATTGATTCTTGGCTCACTGTCTGTCTCTGCAGCTGTCTAGGTCCCAGTTTTATATGAATTATTGTTCCTAATGCTATATGGATAAATAACGCTCTTCACCCACAACTGTAACACAAACTGTAAGTCATGATGTATTAGAAAGATATCAAACCTTTATGACCAGTAAAAATTCTTTCTTCTCTACTAGAGAAGAGATAAATATTTTGGAAAAGGTAATTTGTTTGGAATGCAAAAATTTCCATTCCCCTCCATAGCTGTGTGCCTCTCAGAGGTCCTTCCAGTGCTGAGAGGCTCTCCCACCCTTCTGATGTTATGTACCATTCCTCTCTAACAAGTCTGATGTCTCCTTACTTTTGCAGAAGAAAATGCAGAAATTACCCTGGATGTGTCATTAGCATATCGCGATGGCATGTTTGATGACTGGGAAGAAATAGCACATGCAATAGAGATCAGGAAGCTGAAATGCACCTTTGGCTCACCAAAAGTAAGGTGTTTTGATGACGCTGGAGGTGGGGAGGTGTGGGAGTGCAGTGGGAGTTGTCCTCTTCCTTTCCTTCATGGTGCTTCCTAGAAGCTCTGAGTTGTTCAGTCATAACTTTCAAACGTGTCAGCTTTCTCTTGGCGTAAAAGCTTTGAAAACCTGATGAGCTCCGCATGCAGTTGGTTCTGTTTGGCGATACAAGAGAACAGGAGCAGACTTAAAACTGTAAGGATGAAGAGGTGTGAGGTGTAGCAGAGGCATTGTCTGGAACTCGAATGCTTTCAGATCTGTATAGCCCAAACCATCCTAGAGAACTTGGACCTTTCCATCTCGTGCTTCTGTGATGGACAAAACCTTGTTCTTCAGGAGCGGTGAGGAAGTAGCCCACCAGGGACACTGCAACACTCAAAGAACCTGGAGAGGTGGGGCAAGAGTTTCTTAAAATAACTTCTTAATGCCTCAAGCTACAAAGCTTAGGAGCAGAGAGCACAGCTAGCAGTTGAGAACAGAGCATCTTGTTTAAATAAAGATGAGGTTTTTTGTGCTGCAGACTAATTCCTGTGCTTAAATTAATCTGGTGTCTTTTTACCATGCCATGTTTTTCAGCTCTGTGTCTTGTTGTCCCACTGCATAGTCCCTCTCAGCAACCCACTTAGGTCTCCGGTAACACCAGCACTCTCCCATACAGCCACATATGCGCAGTAAATACATACGAGGTGCAGGGGGGAGTGTTTGCTGGTAAAACAGGGCTTAAGAAACTCCAAATCAGGGCATGTGTGAGAGGGTTGCATATTTTGTTTTGGCTCAAATTGTGCTTGCTGAGGGAGGAAGCTTAGATCCCCAAGCAGCCTTTCATCTTGAAAGGCTCCCATGACTTGAAGTGTATTCAAGACCCTGAGATGTGAACCCGTTTGAGGTCAAACGCTATTGACTCAATGACCCAAAACAATCTAAAACTTGAGCAAAAATGTCCCCGCACTGCTGATGTTCTCCAGACTTGCACAGACTCTCCCCAGGCCTCGGGAGAAGGTTGGAATTAGCAAACGGGCTCTCGGTGCTGGCAGTGGTCCCAGCGTTAGGGCTGTTGCAGACCCTCAGCGTGGAGGGCGTGCTGGTCCATCCGAGGCTGACTGGTGTGTTGGCGCTCTGTGCCCTTTCGCCAGACCCTGGAATCCGAAGGCCGTCACTACGACTGTGACTTCCTTCCCTTCATGGAGATCGGCAGCGTGGCCCACAAATACTACCTCATCAACATCCGCCTCCCTGTGAACGAGAGGAAGGGCATTAATGTGGGCATTGGGGAAATCAAGGATATCCGCCTCGTGGTAAGTGTCCGTCTGGCCTCTGTCCGTGTTCGCCAAACCCCGGCCGAGTGGCTGTGACCCGCGATGCCACAGTCAGCAAGGGCATCTCCCCCGGGGCTGTGGCAGCTCCTGTCTTGATCTCTTTGATCCACAGCAAATGTCCTCCTCTTTGTCACGGGTAGCTCCTGCCTGCAAATGTGCCTGCCTGCCTTCCTGAGCGATGCCCTCTTTGCCCTCCCCGAGCCTTGAGCAGTGCCCGGTGACCACCTCCAGAGCTGGACCCTTCCCACAGTTCCGAGAGGTCTCTCTCCTCCCCACCACAGTCTGGCAGAGTCCTCCACCTGATTAAGCCCTGCTTCTCCTGGATAGGAGCTGGGGAGGAACAGAACAGCAGCGTTCAGGGGGGTTCTGGTCTATCTTGGAGTTGGCCATCGCCACACAGATGTTTGGCATGGCTGTCAGCTATCCGTGCTGCTGCCCTGCCTTGAGACTTGGTGGCCATGGAAAACCTCCCACCACTGTCCCTCTCAGCAGAAGCAGCGAGCCAGCCGGCTGCGGTGGCTGCAGACAGCGGTGGGAGGGCGTGTGTCTGGAGAAATGCATCAATTTGGCTGATGCGTTTCCCACCCGTGGTGACTTCGCTGCATGAGTATCTTGTTACTTGTCTGAGAGCAACTCTGCCAGTTTTTTCCACGCTGTGTCAGAGTGCCCTTCTTGATGGCTCTCCACCTCGCAGTGTGCTGGCATTTGTTTTCAGGACTTTTGAAGCGTCCTCAGATGGCCTGGGTGCTAAGTAGGCACCTGCTCCCTTTCCTGTGTTGGGCAAACCACGTCTTTCAAAGAGTGGTTGCGTCTTCGTGTGCTTACACGTACTGCCGCGTACGTGCCTCTCCTGTCAGCTCCTGTAAGGAGAAGCATGGCGTAATGGCGCTAACCCCCGTACGGCTGTTGCATTCCACCTTGCTTTTCCTTAGGGCATCCATCAAAACGGAGGCTTTACAAAAGTGTGGTTTGCCATGAAGACCTTCCTCACCCCCAGCATTTTAATTATCATGGTCTGGTACTGGAGACGGATCACGCTGATGACACGCGCTCCTGTCCTGCTGGAGAAGTGAGTAGGGGCTCGCGTGCTGGGCAAGGTGACCCTACAGCCAGAGGACCCTGACCAAGGTGGTCGCTGCTCCCTGGCAGAGCCCGTGTTTGGGGAGACAGGAATGGTCTCTTCTCCGTCCCCTCCCTCCACCCAGGCCTCTGAGAGCAGGAGACATCCGTAGCTTCTCTTTTCTTTAACATTAAACCCATAGAGAATGAGTAGCTGCATTTGCCCGCGGCAGCTCAGAGAGGCCTTGCCCCAGAGGGTTTGCTGCGGGAGGTGACACCCCACTGCCACTGCCCAAAGTGCCAGAGTTTCCTCTGCTGCTCTTCATGCCCAGCTTTGGCTTCTGGGGTTCTCGGTCCTTGCCTTACAAACTGGAAAGAGATGGTGTTTCTGCCTCTGCAGGGTCATCTTTGCTCTGGGAATTTCCATGACGTTCATTAACATCCCTGTGGAGTGGTTTTCCATCGGATTTGACTGGACTTGGATGTTGCTCTTTGGAGACATTCGACAAGGCATTTTCTATGCTATGCTCCTGTCATTCTGGATCATCTTTTGCGGAGAGCATATGATGGTGGGTACAACGCAGAAAGGAATGTGGTTTCCAGCCCCACTTGCAGAGGTACCTGGCGACCCCCTTGTACTTGCTGAGTGTTGGAAACAGCACTATGGGAACTCGCACCAAGCGAGAGGACTTCAGGCTAACTTACTTTTCCTTTTTCTCCTCCTCCTCCTCCTCCCCACCTCTTGACCCTCCAATTAGGACCAGAACGAGCGGAATCGTCTCTCGGGGTACTGGAAGCAGGTTGGACCCATAGCTGTTGGCTCCTTCTGCCTCTTCATCTTTGACATGTGCGAGAGGTAGGTGCAGCGCTGCTCTCCAGCCCCCGCGTGCTGCTCCCCGGGGCGAGCCTTCCCCAAGCAGCGAGCAGAGGCTCCTGGCCACCTCCTGCAGCAGGGACCAGCAGTTTCACCCCGGGGGCTGGATGCGCAGCCCCACCTCATGAAGCCAGGAGAGGCTCCGGTGAGCATGCTGGTGTTTCCCAGCAGCGTATCTTGTCCCGTAGGGCTGTAAAGAAACGCTTCCCACTTTGTCTCCTCCTCGTCCCCGCAGGAAAGCGGTGTGCCTGGCTCTTTCCAGGCTGCAGAGCAGACGCGGGGCTCTCTGAGCCCGTTGGCTCCTGTGGCAGCTCGGTGTTTTCTCTCCTCTTTGCAGGGGAGTGCAGCTGAAGAACCCCTTCTACAGCATCTGGACCACCGAAGTTGGCACGGAGCTGGCTGTATCCTTCCACCCGGCTCGGGGCAGGCTCGGTCTGTGTCGGTAGGAGAGGGAGGTGTTCCCCTCCTGCCAGATACCTGTGGGGTGTGGGGAAACCCTCCTCCTTTTGGCAGGCTGGGGCTGTGAGGCGGAGCTCGGGCGCTGCTGGAGATGCCGGTGTTTGGAAGAAGCAGTCCTGGCAGGTTTGGTGCTGGGTACTGCCAGGGACTGGTGCTGTGCTTATGGGAAGTCACTGGAGAACTGAACTTCTCCTCAAGATGTCTGAGATCTGGGGGGAAGCACGGGGGATTTAGGTCCTGGGTG